CTCCCCGGCTAAGCGGACCCATTCGGGTCATAGTCGGAGCCCTCTCCGTCTAAATTCTCATCTATCAATTTACGCGCATGTCCCGATCTACGAGACCTCAAACCACTTGCTGTGCCATCCTCCGCAGCGCTCACAATGGCTAAAGGCCCATCAACCTCCTCACCAGTCTCGCCCCTATCAGGAGATGGTGGAATAGTGTTTCCATCCTCAAAAGAGTGGAACGGGCTACCCGGTGACAATACCAAAAGCTTCTTGGTCGACCCCAATAATGGGCAATCATGGTTCAGCTTCTGCTTCTCTGCCTCTATCACCCCCACCTTTTGCAATAGCAGTCTCATCATACAATACATGTGACGCTGCAGGTTGTCATCTCGTTCTTGCCTGGCACCAGCGCTAAACTTTGGACCATTCTCCGGCGGTATCGCCAAGATATCTAGCAACAGAGGTCGGTTCCGGCACAATCTCATCAGCTCCCTCATAAACCGGTACCTCTCGGTGCAGTAATATTTGTGTCAACGGGTTCCCGTAGAAGAACCTCCTAGAGTCATTCAGAAATTTGGTGCGAGCTATCTCATCGAGCATTAATTGACCAATATTGACAGGTTGTCCCGTCATCAAAAAGTAGATCAAACAAATCCTCGCTCTCGCACAATCAGAAGAATGCTCATCCGACATAATACGAGTAAGAACAAAGTTATGCCATACATTAGTTGTTCTGTTGAAGTCAGTCCGGCACATGTCCCTGTGGGTGTCATTTTGTTGTGAACGAATCCACTTCGCCATCAAGTTCACCCCACATAATATTTGACGGATGGCCGGGTAATCTATACTGCGCACGAACTTTTGAAAAATTCGCGGAACATGGTTCGGAGCCCCCAAAAACTCAAAAAGCGCCTGAGCTTGCAAGTTGATCCACCACACACCTCACACATTAGCTTCATTTTTCTTACAATGCCAATTAGCATATAGTTCTTTTACCATGCTCAAATTAGCTAGCTTGGGGCATTCTAACAAATGGTGCAACTTCAACTCGTTTACCGGTCTAGAATGGTGGGAAAATGCTGCTCCAAAGCTGTAGGGTTGATGCCCATCTCTGAGATATACCGCTCGTATGGTACAAAGGAGTGGTACCATCTTTTTTCATCCTCTCTATCGACCTAGAGGGTTGGACAAGGCACACGAGGCTGCCCTGCTGAAGGCTCAGCCACTTGCTTTCCTTTTCCCAGATTTGCGTGAAGTAAACTCACTTTGTTTGCGCTTCTTTGTAGATGGGGCAGCCGTAGAAAGCTTTGCCATTGCCTTTGCCTTTTGCGAAACTTCACGAGCCATTAGTACTAACACCTGGTGCTTGAGAGAAGAAGAAGCAACAAGTGGGGGGCAAAAAATCGGAGAACGAGATAGAGAGAACTGGCGTGGGGGGATTTGGGTTTTAGGGTGACGGGCCGGGTAGGTTGTTATGTTAGAAAGTGAGATTTTATTATTATTAGGTGGGGAAATGGGTTTGGGTCAGGTTGAGGGTAAAAGTGTAGGGGACTTACCTTGACGTTTTCATCCACGTTTAGCACTGAAGAGGGCAGCTGTGCATTTTTTGATTCTTCCTTTGCAGCTTTTGTCTGCGCCTGGCACCCAACCGGGCGCTGAACTTCTTCTGAAATTTTTATTTATTTATTTTTTCAAATTTTGACTGAATGACAACTAGACGAAAACAAGAAAATTGGGTTGCCTCCCAACAAGCTCTTGATTTAACGTCGCGACACGACACAGTCAATCAAGCTCAGTGTCACTCAATGCTTGAGCCTCCTTCAAATGAATCATCGATACAACTTTTTCCTCATCCATGCCAAAGTAATGTTTCAACCTTTGCCCATTGACTCTAAACCTATTCGTTCCATCCTCAGATTCAATTTCTATAGCTCCACTTGAGAACACTTGCACAACTCTAAATGATCCTGACCATCTAGACTTCAATTTACCCGAAAACAGTTTCAATCTTGAATTGTACAACAACACGATATTGCGGGGTTTAAAAATTCTTTCTTCAATAAGTTTATCGTGCATCATCTTCATCCTTTCTTTGTACAACCTAGTGCTTTCAAAATCATTGTAACAGAACTTATCAAGTTTATGCAGCTATGTGACTTTACTCGTACCAGCAGCCTCCAAGTTAAGATGTAATTGCCTTAACGCCCAAAAAGCTCTATGCTCTAACTCCACCGGTAAGTGAGTCGCTTTTTCAAACACCAATTTTATGGTGACATACCAATCGGAGTTTTGAATGTAGTGCGGTAAAGTGCATCATCCAATTTTTTTTGCCCAATCAGTCCGAGTAGCATTTACAGTTTTGGTCAAAACACTCTTGATTTCTTTGTTTGAAACCTCCACTTGCCCACATGTTTTTGTATGGTACGGGTGGCCACCTTATGGCGAATGCCATATTCTCCAACAACTTTGACAAGGCTCGGTTGCAGAAGTGGGTGCCTCCATCACTGATGATCGCTCTTGGAGTGCCGAATCGGGTGAAGATATTTTTTCTTAGAAAACCAAATAACTCCCTTTGCATCATTTGTTGGGAGTGCCACAGCTTCTACCTATTTCGAGACATAGTCCACAGCTAGCAATATGTACTTGTTGCCATATGAGCTGACAAATGGTCCCATAAAATCGATTCCCCATACATCAAATACTTCTACCTCTTGAATTGGGTTCATGGGCATCTCATGTCGACGGGAAATGTTCGCCGTCCGTTGGCACTTAGCACAGCTCTTTACCCAAAAGTGTGCATCTTTAAACAACGTCGGCCAATAAAAGCCCGACTCCGGTACTTTAGCAGCTGTCCTGGCTCCACCAAAATGGCCTCCATAAGGTGAAGCATGACATGCCTGCAAAATAGAAGCTTGGTCTATCTCGGGAATGCATCTCCATATCATGTTATCAATACAAATCCTAAGCAAATATGGTTCATCCCAGAAATACATGCGATAATCACAAAAGAAATTTTTCTTCTGCACAGAGGACAAGTCATAGGGAACAATACCGCTTGCCAGGTAGTTTGCAATATCTGCATACCATGGCGCTACCTCAAGGCATGTGGACAACGGTTGTTCATCCGGGAAGGTTTCCACAATCTCTTTTACCTCAACCTTCTTCTCCATCCTTCCAATCTGGATAAGTGATTTGCCGCTTGGTTCTCCGTTCCCTTTCGATCATGGATTTCCAGGTCGAATTCTTATAGTAGCAGCACCCATCAAATCAGGCGGGGCTTTGAATCCTTCTTCTCAATTAGTTACTTCAGAGCAGCATGGTCAGTATAAACAATTACCTTCGAGCCTATCACGTATGACCTGAATTTGTCAAATGCGAACACCACTACTAGCATCTCCTTCCCAGTCACTCTGTAGTTTAGTTGGGCACCACTCAGGGTTCTGCTTGCATAGTAGATTAGGTGGATGACTTTCTCCTTTTGTTGCCCAAACATTTCTCCCACACCATAGTCGCTTGCATCGCACATCAGCTCAAATGGTTGCTCCCAGTCGGGTGCAACAATGATAGGTGGAGACACCAGCCTCTTATTCAATTCCCCAAAAGCTACCCTACAATCATCAGAAAACAGAAATGGGTGATCTTTTTTCAAGCAATTTACACAAAGGGTTAGCAATCTTGAAAAAAATCTTTTATAAACTGCCTGTAAAATCCGGCGTGCCAAGGAGACTTCTTATTGCCTTGACGGAAGTGGGTGGTGGAAACTTCTCTATTACGTCAACCTTAGCATGATCCACCTCAATGCCCTTACTTGATACTAGGTGTCCCAAGACTATACATTCATGTACCATGAAATGGCACTTTTCCCAGTTTAGCACCATATTAGTCTCCATACATCTCTTTAGCACTCTTTTTAGATTCCTAAGGCAGTTATCGAATGAGTTTCCCACCACTGAGAAATCATCCATAAAAAAATTCCATTATGTCCTCTACCATATTTGTGAAGATGTCCATCATGCACTTTTGGAATGTGGCGGGTGCATTACATAGGCCAAACGGCATTCTTCGGAAAGCATAGATGCCATATGGACAGGTGAATGACGTTTTCTCTATATCCTTTGGGGCAATAGAGATCTGATTATACCCTGAGTATCCATCCAAAAAGAAAAAGTGGGACCTCTCTGCCAATCTATCTAACATCTGATCAATGAACGGCAAGGGAAAATGGTCTTTTCGGGTGGCCTTGTTTAATCTTCTGTAGTCCATAAAAATTCGCCATCCCATAAGTGTTCTTGTTGAGATCAACTCGTTGTTCTCGTTTTGCACCACATATCATTCCACCTTTCTTTGGTACACACTGAACGGGGCTAACCCAGTTACTGTCGGAAATATGAGAAATGATTCTCGCATCTAACCACTTGATCACTTCCTTCTTCACAACTTCTTTCACATTAGGGTTCAGCCTTCTTTGATGTTCTCTGGAAGGTCTGTGCCCATCTTCCAGTAGAATCTTATGCATACAGAAGGCCGGGCTGATACCCTTAATATCTGCAATAGTCCAACCAATTGCAGTCTTGCACTCTATTAACACCTGCAAAAGTTGTTCTACCTGCACATCTAACAAGCTAAATGAGATAATAATAGGTAAAGTCGAGTTAGGTCCCAAGAAAGTATATCTGAGGTGATTTGGTAGCGGTTTCAGTTCCAACTATGGTGGCTCTTCAATCGATGGCTTAGCAGGAGGGTCTTTCTTTCTTCTAAGTGTAAAGACTCGAATTAGAGCTCTCTTTTCCAGTGCCCTTGGCCTTCAAGAGCCAACACCCACTCCGCCAAGTCCTCACCATTCACCTCTTCTAAGTTCATGAGGCAGGCTGCTAGAGGGTCTTTTGCATTAAGGACCTCATTAGCTTCCTCCATGATCACATCCATAGCTTCTATCAAAGAGCAATTTGCAAACTCACTGGGTCGGCGCATAGACTTTTGCACATTAAATGTTATTTCTTCGTTATTTAGCTTCATTTTTATCTCCCAGTTTCAGAATCAATCAGAGCTCTTCCTGTGGCCAAGTACGGACTTCCCAAACTTATGGGAATCTCCTCATCAACCTGGCAGTCTAGAATGACAAAATCTGCCGGAAACACAAACTTTCCAACCTGCACAAGTACATCGTCAAGAATACCTGATGGCCTTTTCACCGTCGGTCAGCTAGCTGCAGTGACATGGAAGTGGGCCTTGCTCTTCCAATGCTTAACTATTTATAGATAGCCAATGGCATCAGATTTATGCTCGCCCCCAAATCACACAACGCTTTGGCGAATGCATAACTACCTATGGTGCATGGAATTGTGAAGCTTCCAGGGTCGGATAGCTTATCCGCTATAGGTCTTGTCACAACAGCACTACAGGTATGAGTCAATATCATAGTTGCCAAGTCTTGAAAGTCGAACTTGTGAGACATCAAGTCATTCATCATTTTTGCATAACCAGGCATCTTCCTCAAAGAATCAATTAGAGGAATGTTTACCTGAATTTGCTTCAACATTTCCATGAATTTTTTGTACTGCTCATCCTTCTGATATTTATCCAACCTATGCGGGAAGGATGCTGGAGGTTGCTTCCTTCCTGTGACTTGAGTTAGATCCTGCCCCATCACTGTTTCTAATGCCTGCTCTTGCACTTTCTCAGTCTCCTTTGCAACCTCCTTTTCTTTGCTTGTTTCCTCCATGTTGTATTGTTACCTCCGTTAACCCTGTTGAATTGTCCACCTCAATTGGTATTGGCACAAGTATCTCAGTTGGTTGGCTTTCGTGAGAAATTTCTTTCTCTAGATCAAGATCTCTACCATTTCTTAGACTCACCGCCATAAGCTGCTGCGGGCCCTGCTCTTTCGGATTGACATGTGTGTTTACAGGTAAAGTCCCTTAGGGACGATTATTCAGAGCCATAGATACCTGCCCTAATTGAATCTCAATGCCTTTTATCGCTGAGTCATGTGCTTCCACCTTCTCTTGCATTTTTCTATTGGACCCAATTAGTTGTTGCGGCATTCCTTTAATCTCAGACAAGCCATCATCTTGTCATACTATCTGTTGTTGTTGAGGCTGTTGATAAGCTAGATGTTGATTTTGCTGATTGTATCCTTGTTGTCTTTGGTAGGGCACAACTTGACTCTGTGGTCGCATAGCTCCAGGATTATTGATGTTATTGTACTGCTATTGTGCTGGTCTATACTGCTGGTTCTGCTGCCCCCAATTCTGACTACCTTGCCTCTGGCCTCTATAATTGCCCACATAGTTCATATTTTCCTGATAGTTCTGGTTTTCACTTTCACCACTCCACAAGCACACATATAGTTATTTATGCATGGTGTACATAATCCCCCATTAGTCGTGTCAACTACATGGACCTGCTTCTGGCCTGATTCATCAATCTTCTTAGTGAAGATACTCATTTACGTCATTAGAGTGGCCATATTCTCGGCTATGAAGTTGTTTGGGTCCAAAGCTACTGAGTGAACTACAGGGGTGATTGTAGCGTCTCTTGTCATCCATCCTAAGTTTTGAGCCATTTTATCTAACAGGACCTTACACTCTCTAAATGATTTGCTCAAGAATGCTCCACCTGCTAAAGCATCAACGTTGGCCGTCAAGCTACCTACCAATCCCATGCAAAACCTTTGTCCCAACATCTGATCTGGAATGTCGTGGTGTGGACACTTAACCAGCATCCCTTTGAACCCCTCCCACGTTTCTTGTAGTGTTTCAGCTGGTTTATGCCTGAAACTCAATATCTTATCAACTTGCTTGGCAGTCTTATTGGGTGAGTAGAACTTGTTCAAAAACTGCTTGACTAATTCCTCCCAAGTGGTGATGGAGTTTATGGGGAGCAAATTGAGCCAAGTCTAAGCTTCTCCAGTCACAGAGAATGGAAACAATAACAGTCTGATTGCTCCCGGTGTCACATCAGGTTGACTTTGAGTGACACAAATTGACAAAAAGTTTTTCAGATGTTGTTGTAGATCTTCAATGTAAGACCCGGAGAACAGTCCCTTGTTCTGCAGAAGATGTAACATGTTGTTTGTGATTTGAAATGACTCTGCTTGTATCTGAGGGACTGCAATTGTGGTTGCCAAATTTTCAGCGGTGGGTTGTGCCCAATCATACAAGGATGCTTCTGGCACAAGCGGTTCCACACCCTAATTGTTCGGTTCATTCCTAATGTTTTGGTTGTATGACGTCCCCCATGTCTAATTCGATCTGTTCTGTCAGGTTTTGTTGTCATTTTGTCCTTCTTGTTTGCATGTGTCACGACCCTAAAACCGGTCCGGTCGTGATGGCGCCTATCATGAAACTAGGCCAGCCGACAAAATTCCCGAATTCAACCAGTATTCAATAAAAGTCATTTTCAAGCCATTAACTAATAAATAATCTCATAATGTAAGTCTAAATGAACAGTGCGGAATAAATAGTAAATACACAAGCCCAACATCGGGGTATCACAAGTCACGAGCATCTACTAAGGTCTGAATACGACGAAGAGTCTGAAAATAAACTATAACAGGCTAAAGAAGATAAGAGGAAGAGAGCAGGGCTGTGAACGCCGGGCAGCTACCTTGCTGACTTCGATGACTCTGCCACTGAGCAATCAACACCCACTACCGGGTTCAAAAATACCTGAATCTGCACACAAGGTGCACGGAGTAATGTGAGTACGCCAACTCAGTAAGTAATAAAAGTAAATGAAAGCTGAGCAGTAAAAAAACACTTAAAACACGTCATAACGCTACTGCAAATACAGTGCGCTCCCAAAACAGTGCAGAAATTATTTATTTCGTAAATCAAACTCAATTTCAGTAAAAACCCTTTCCTTTTTAAAAGAAAGAAAAACTTCTTGCAATAGTTTCAAACGAGTGATAAAAACAGTGAGTAAAAACGATAGAAACGTAAACAGCCCCTCGGGCAAAACATGTAACATAAACCGCCCCTCGGGCATAATATCAACAGAACCAGACCCTCGGGCTACCTCACAATCACTCGTAATCAGCCCCTCGGGCACAACATGAATCAAGAACAGCCCCTCGGGCAACAACATGAAACAACAACAGCCCCTCGGGCTACATCAAATCACTCACACTGGGTACCCGCGCTCACTGGGGGTGTACAGACTCCTGGAGGGGTTCCAACAGCCCAAGCGCTATGACAAGCCATCTCGTGGCATAAATCAGTTAGGCCCTCGGCCTCATAATAACAAGCCACCTCGTGGCATGCATCAATTAGGCCCTCGGCCTCACATAACAACAAGCCACCTCGTGGCATAAATCAATCAGGCCCTCGGCCTCAAAATATCATGAATCAGTAACAACCTGCTGCGGCGCGCAGCCCGATCCCATAATATCCTCACAACACAGGCCCTCGGCCTCACTCAATCAGGAATCTCTCAAGCCACTCGGGCAACAATAAAACATGATGCTCAGCCCAAAATATCATTTAAAATATCAAAACGGAGTAAATACGGGTGAGTTATAAAAACAGTAAAGTACAGCATGACTGAGTACAGATATTAAGTCAAAACAATGAGGAATAGTAGTAAAAAGCCCCTAAGGGTCCAAACAGTTGGCACGAGGCCCAAATATGGCATTCAGCCCAAAACATAGTAATACTTTCAAAAATACAATGATATCAAACAGTTTTCAATCAAATACGCGACTTAGCAGTCATACAGGACGGACTAAGTCACAATCCCCAACGGTGCACGACCCCACGCTCGACATCTAGCATGCACGTCACCTCAAAGCAGCACAACGATGTGAAATCCAGGATTTCATACCCTCAGAACAACATTTACAATCATTACTTACCTCAATCCGGTCCAAACTCTAGCCCGCGATGCCTTTGCCTCTCGAATCGGCCTCCGGATGCTCCAAATCTAGCCAAAAACAGTACCATACCATCACAATATGCTAAGGGAACAAATCCCACTCGAAAATAACCAATTTACATCAAAAAAATGCCGAAATTGGCCAAATTCGACCCCATGGCCCACGTCTCGAAATCTGATAAAAATTAAATCAATAAAATCCTTATCCTCCCATGAGTCCATACATACCAAGAACGTCAAAATCGAACCTCAAATGGCCACTCAAATCCCCAATTTACACTCTCCATTTCAAGCCCTAATTCCCCAATTTTAGGCTTTAAATCCCTCTAATTTCATGTTTAAACAAGTAAGAATCAACATAGGATCGAGTTTTTGGTTCAATAATCTTACCTCAAAGAAGTTCTCTTGAATTCCCTCTTCAATCTCCCCCAAGAAGCTCCAAAACCGACTCAAAAGTGGTGAATTATGGCCAAAAATCGCAAAAATGGCTATTTAAACATTCTGCCCAGCGATTTAATTCCTTCATCGCGATCGCGGAAATAGCCTCGCGATCGCGAAGCACATAATTTGACTGCCCTCATTTTAACCCTATGGGATCGCATAAAGCTCCACGCGATCGCGAAGCACTGCCTTAGCTACATCACGCGATCGCGGCCTCACCCACGCGATCGCATAGAACAAACCTCACCACTTCACACCAGCTCCTTCTCTAGTACGCGAACGCAACATTGGCCACGCGTTCGCGAACCATGATCTCTCAACAAATCGCGATCGCATTCAGACCTTGGCGATCGTACTGAAGAAATTTCACCTCTGCCCCACAAAACCTACGCGATCGCGGACCCCTCTACGCGATCGCGAAGAACTAATGTCTACATCAGAACTGAAGGAAAATCTGCAACCTTCAAAACATGAATTTGATCTGTTTAACCACCCGAAACTCACCCGAGGCCCTCGGGACCTCAACCAAACATGCCAACATATCCCATAACATCATTCAAACTTGTTCTAACCTTCCGGACACTCAAAACAACATCAAAACATCAAATCATCAACGAATTCGAGCCTAAGAATTCCAAAAACTTCCGAATTCCGATTTCGATCAAAAATTCTATCAAACCTCGTCCAAATGACCTGAAATTTTGCACACACATCACAAATGACACAACGGACATACTCCAATTTCCGGAATTCCATTCCGACCCCGATATCAAAATTTCCACCACCAACTAGAAAACGCCAAAATTCCAATTTCGCCAATTCAAGCCTAAATCTGCCACGGACCTCCAAAATACATTACGGACGCGCTCCCAAGTCCAAAATCACCTAACGGAGCTAACCAAATCATAAAAATCCGAATCCGAGATCGAATACTAAGAAGTCAAAACTTGGTCAAACCTTTCAAATTTGAAGCTTCAAACTAAGAATTGTTCTTCCAAATCCATTCCGATTATCCTGAAAACCAAAACCGGTGATTTACGTAAGTCATAATACATCACACGGGGCTAGTAATGCCCGAGAATTGGCAAGCGAAATGCAAAAGCTCGAAATGACCGGTCGAGTCGTTACATCCTCCTCCACTTAAACATACGTTCGTCCTCGAACGTGCCCAGAGTCGTTTCGAAAACTATCAAATCGCTGTGTAACCTTACCATGCACATCCCCGGGGGTGATCCCACGTCACCCTATCTCATGTAGGTCCGATAACACAACGCAACTGAAATTTCACAATCCATCCTAGCCCATGAACCTTAGAACCAAATTCCCACTTTCAAAATCATTTATAAGGTCAGAACCTCACATCTATACTCTGAACAAGTTCGAACCAGCTGTACCGAACCATATCTG